AAAAAAACTTTTCTGTTCAAAAGGATACTATTTTCAGAAAGAGATGGGTCCTGAAGTTGTCTTTGAAATATTCAACCATTTACCTGTGACAATATTATACATGTGTATCTTCTTTTTAAAGACTATGTTTCAAAGCATAATTCAGACTTATTTTTTTCAGAATTCAAAAAAGAAATATGTTGAATCTTTCATTTGGTTTCTCAAGATCATCTCTAAATTCCCCATTTGAATCATCTTGTTAGATGCCACACTATTTTATGATATTTTAATTTATATAAACATTCCTAGAGACTCCTCACCAAATACCAATTCAAACTTTAATAGCAGTTCTTGTTTTTTCAAAACTAGAAGCCTTTGTGAGAAAAATATTCAAATATAATTTTCAACTTTTGCTTCAAATAGTTATTTGCTACAAGTGTCTCTCTGAAGAATACTGTAATCCTTTTCTTAGAGTTACCAGGGTACCTATTAGTCTGTCAAAGCTAGATATACGAAGTTTTCCAAAACCCAGATTTTTTGCCTCAAGTTCACTTTGTAGTACATGACTCATCTCATGTGTCCTAAGAATTTACACATTAAACCTCATAGTACCCAAGTGCCTTTCCAAAAACAACCAACACTGTAACTACTAGATGAAATAAAACTTCAAATGAAAAATAAAAATCAACCCTAATTTATTTTCAGTGCTTAAATTTTTGACTTTCAATTACCCCCTAAACACTGTTTCTTTATTCACTTTGAATTATAAGAATCACTGACTATTGCATGACTATTCAAGAGGATTGGTTGTTAAGATCCAGCCTTGTAAATAATTTACCAGATGACTTTAAGCGAGTTATTTAATCTCTGTGGTTCTTAATCTGATCTCTTAAAAATGAGGAACTTGTAGTACTGATGATTTCTAAGCTTCTCCCTACTCCGAAAGTCTGATTCTATTCTTAAAGAAAAAAAATCCAAATTCTTTTAAAATATCCAAACTGGATATCCTGAATAAGGAATTTTGAAACCCAGCGACATGAAGAGTGCTTGAGGGTCTTTGGAATCTAGTTTGGAGAAGAGGGCACCTAGCAAGTCACTGGAAAGGAACGTCACAGAAGGAAGCAGGTGCACCAGGAGGTCAGCCGTTCTACTAACAAAGGCTGATGGGGGCAAGGCGGCAGCAGCACCTGCTGGCACCGGGACCGCGCAAGGGCCACCCTGCGCAACAAACGCACCCAGGTGAGGAAGGACGGCGCCCGCTCCCAGGCTGTGACGCCGGCGGTCCGCGGTTTCGTCCACTCGGTCCACCTCTCCACGCGTCCCTGCGCCCCAGCCCTGTCCGCTCTGAGCCCGCCGCCCCGTCCACCCTGTCCGCCCCTTCTGCCTTGTCCTCTGGGTCCCAGCCACCCAGTCTCCGCCCCGTCCCCTCCGCCCTGTCCGCCTCCCCTCCCTGTGCCCGGTTCTTCATCCTAGCCTCCCCAGCTGCCTTGTCCGCCCTGTCCGCCCCGTCCCAGCCACCCGGTCCCCATCGCCCGGTCCACCCCGTCCACCCAGGCCGCCCAGTCCCGGCCACCTCGTCCCCCTCCCATCCCCGCGCCCAGTTCTCTGTCCTTGCCGTCCTGTCCGCCCCGTCCCCTCTCCTCCACCCGGCCTAGCGCGTTCTAGCAGCACAGTCCCACATGGCTCGGCGGCGGTGACGAGCCGTGACGCCTCAATGGTTGCCAGGGCGCGGCGCGCGGGTTCGGAGGCGGCTGCGGGTGGGGGGGTCGCACCTGTTTTGGACGCGCCTCTCCTCCAGCCACTGCGCCATGAGCCCCGGGGGCACTGGCTGCGCCGCGGGGCTGTTGCTGACCGTGGGCTGGCTGCTCTTGGCGGGCCTGCGGTCTGCGTGTGGGACCAACGTCACCGCCATCCAGGAAAGCGGCAGCCTGACCCACGCGGGCGAGGGCGACGGCGAGAGCGAGAACGACACCGACGAGGAGGCCGAGAACGAGAGTGAGGCGGCCGAGACCGAGAGCCCGCCGGAACCGGAGGAGGACGGTGAGGCGGCAGCCAGGTCGGGCGCAGGCGGGGCAGGCACAGGTCTGCTCTTAGCCCCGTACCCTGTTTATCTGTCTCGTGCATCTCGTGGCTTTGAGGAAGGACGTGCTAATTCTTCAAGGCCAAAGCAAGATAAACAAAGAAACATAGAAATCACTGCAGAAATACTGCTAAATATTGCTTTGGATACGTAAAACGATTTTTTTAAGGAGTTGGAGATAGCCCCCCCGCCCGCCCCCAAAGGGAATCATTTTGGCTCTTCTCGGAGTCGTGTCTCCTTCTTACTGTACACTTTTAAGTTCCAAATTGCTCAGGGTCCTCTTCCTTTCCATGCTTGCACTTGAGGTTCGAACTCGATGTAATTCAGAATTCCCCTTACTGTGACCATCTAGACAATATGTTGACAAAACTGCCCAGACGCTTCATCTCACCTCAGTGAGGCCTCCACCCTCGAAAATCTCTGCAGCAAGGTGGTGGTTTATTGGTATGTTAAACTCCGAACAAAGGAACTGGGGCAGGAGAAAACACCTTTCAAGGGCTTTGCTAGATGCCCCCTTGTTAAGAAGGAGAAATGAGGAGGAATGTGTACTGTGCTTAGGCCATAAATTCACTTTATGCTGTTGATTCATTAAACAATTGAACGTGACAAACTGTTGTGCACGTTTCATTGACTGGTAACGCACACACCAGTACAGGAAGGGGCAGCTGCGGCTTGCAGCCTTCAAAGGAAGGTGGTTTCCTTCCTTCGTAAGTCGTCCAGATGAGATTGTTTCAGCATCGTTCACATTCTCAGGTCTCCTCAGTCTGTGCGTATAGAGTGGGTGCTGTGTTTATCAGCCTTCTTTTGTTTGTTTGTTTGTTTGCTGATGACAGATAGTGACCTTCAGCAGTGGAAAGAAATTGGCTCTCAGGGGTTAATAATGGGATCGAGGTTTGCACTGTTTGGGGAGAGCTTTAAAAGGTCCTTGACTTTGGAAATGTAGAGAAGAAAGATGTTCTAAACCACAGCAGAGTAGCTATTGCTTCATTCTAATCTCTAAAGTAATTAAATTTACAATTGTAGCATTAAACTGGTCAAGGGGTACTACTAGCTATAAAATGCTAAATATTATGGTGATGGTGCTACCTACGTGCCATGCAAATTCATGTGTAGGTTAGTTACAAACACTCATTCTCTAGGTGTTTGAGTTTCCTCACCTGTGGGCTTCAGGAACTCCACAGGCCTTCTAGAATTTTATATACACAATTTCACATATAAGTACTTTTTCCTGGGGAGAAAGAGAATCCATAACTTTAAACAATCTGACATGTCAAAGATCTGAAAATTTCTAGAAACACTGTTAAGATTTGCACAGCCCCTCTACCATGAAGTGGACCAGCAAAGTCAGTCATCAATGTTTTGCTATACAATGGGCTTTTTAATTTTTTAAGTGATTTTATAAATCACTTAAAGAAATAAAGGGCTAGTGAAAACTTTGTTAAAATTTTTAATAAGAACCTAAACATAGAAAAACTAAAATTTTTATTGTACATGTCCTAGTTTTGAAGGTGTACACACATACACCCTAACTGGGCAAAGTACTTTGAATACAACTAAATGCTCAGCTGCTAAGCATGAACCTGGAAAGCATTCATCATTTACATTCTGATTCCAGATTTCAGTGGGTCCCTAACAGATTCTAGCTTATCATTACTTTGGGTTTTCTCTGTGCTTGTGTTGTCAAAACACAATACTTTTGAAAACTATAAAGGCACACATGTACATATTTTGTTGAAGACAAGAATGCCATCTTCTTTGCTTCAAAATTGTAAAACATTTCCATTTTTAAATTTATAAGCAAGTAGAATGATTGGTGCAATTCATTTTATTCATTTCTACATCATCTATTTTCTTTCAGTCACCTCTATATACACACCTACCTGTCATGATATGTTTATCTAGAAATTTTATTGAGTAAAAATTGGTGCATAACTGAGCATTGGTGCATAAACATTATAAAAAGAAAAGAATACTGCCCACATCTTTTTAGCAAAACACTATGGTCCAGGTTATTGCCACAAAACACTTTAGGATTAAATCTTTCCTGTTGAAAGACTATCTGGGTGAGAATATCATACACCCTTTTTATCCTTAGAAATATAAAGTTCACTCACTACTTCTTAAAGGATACTCATCCAGGACATTAACTAAAATGCCACCTCTCACTGAGATTTTGTTTATATAATCATTTTCAACATCGACATTAGCATCTAAAGGGCTGCTATCTGTTTCTCTTTGTTTATCTTCTGATTGATTCAATAATTGTGAAATGTTTTTCTCTGTCATTTTTCCTCTTTCTTGCCATTATGGGCAAAAAGTGAAACATTCTGAAATCTCAACTTTATTCAATGAAAAGCCAAAAATAGACCACAGGGAGGATGTTTCTAGCTTTTAAATCTTCCTAAAAGATGATGCATTACTTGGGGCCAGAGGATGATGTAATAGCTATGATTTATTTTTCACAGTTCTATCAACTTTCTAGTCAATTCCAATCATTCTTCCATTTTTAAATTTTAGTTTTCTGTAAAAAGCATGTTTGGGAATAATTGTTGAATAATAATGAAATAATAGCATCATTGTGGAAGAGGAAGTAATAAAATGTTTCAAGATAAAGGAAAAACCACTAAGATGTTAGAGCTATACTCTCTTACATTTTATACCTTACATATTTTTATAAGCCTTTTAAATATATTTTATACTTTTATATAGGTATACATTTAAATTTGTAAAAGGGTCCAATAGACCTACATAATAATTGCAAAACAGAATGAGTTTATTCTATAAAATGAGTTTTACCCTATAAAAGTATATTTTCTATTTTTCTTTGAAGACTGCTAGAAAATATTATGAAATATTAACAAATCAACTGTCAAGAAAGAAACTCAAAAGCCAAACTTGCACTTGGCAGCAAAATTACAGTGTGCTGTCCAGAACTGAAGACAACATTCCAGGATCTGGCCACAACAGAAAGCAGAATTGTTACACCAGGCTTGGTCCGTGCAGTCTAAGACTCAGCATATTTTTGGCAAACCTGAGCATCTTCTTGCCTCCTATTAAACTCTCTCCATTCATTTTTAACTGTTCTTCTGTCAAATTAAGATGACCCATAAAATATTTTTGGACAGTTGACTTTCAACTCTCCATGTAGGGGTAGTTTGATTCTTCTGAGGTTTTATTTTGTTAACTTTGTCCATTTATTCTGCCCTGTCATTTTTAGACTCACAGTTATCAAACATATTTTCTATCCTTCTTAGCATCTTGTCCATGTCATTAATAAAAATACTGAACAGGACAGAACCATGGGGCAGACTCCTGCTGTGCTGATGCCAACCAGTTTATTAAAAGCACTTGTGGGTCTTGGTGCTTCACAGTTACACCTGAACTTTACTGACATTTGATCATATTTTTCCTTATTATTTAAAGGTATATAATGGGATTATGTTTATGATTATAATCATTATTAATCATAATTTTGACAAATTCTACATGGAAACCCAGGTATGTATAATTACCTTGAACTGACCATTGTAGGATTTTCATAAAAATAAGTCATTGAATGACTTAATGGACATTCAATGTATCATACAATATTAAAGCTGAAAAGGATTTTAGACATTATCTGATTCAATCTTCTCATTTTTTCTCACTAGGTAAACATAGGAGAATTGAGTAACTTTTCCAAAGTATCATAGGTAGTGAATAGTAGAGCAGATTGACTGGCAGTTTTTGCATAAAGTTCACACTAATATTTAAAAATAGCCCAGTATTTATTCTCCTATCCATGTTTTCTCTGTTTAGGATTTGGCTGCTTTTAATTTATATCTCATAAAAGTGCCAACAGAAAGTATCAAATTATTTCAAGCATTAAAATTTCAATTCAAAATTGATCATCATGACAGTAAATCACTTATTTAGTGAAGTCAATATTAGTTTACTTCTGTGTGTCTTATTGTGCTTATTGTGTATTCAGGGTGCTATATTTTGTGTTTGTGAGTACAGAATGGAAGTGTTTTTGAAACTACTGAGGTTTTACAGTAATCAAAATAGGAAAACAATCCCGTGAAATTAATAAGTACAAAATGAGTTTAAATTGGCTAATTACATCTTAAGTATGTTTATAGGGCTAACCAATTTATAGAATGCTTTCATGCTCATTATCTTAATTCTTACAATAATCAAGTGAGATGGGTTCTCTTTTTCAGATTTTACAGAAGGGTTAACTAAGCTTGACAGTGTTTAATTAATTTGCTCAAACTCAAACAGCTAATTAGTGGTAGCAGCAGATCTTTGGATGCCAGTCACTGTGCTTTCCCAGGGGGATTCATGGCCCCAGGATACGATGCCTTTTAAAAGTTACCTTCTAACATCTCATTTTGTGTATTTTCCATTGACATTTAGTCCTGATCTGAGCTATGAAGGACTGGTTCTACACTGTAGCTAGTGGAATTCTATGCCAAACTGCAGAATAATTAGAAAAAGAGATTTAGAACCAAGAATATTTCACTTCCTGAATGTTGATATGTCACTAGATTATCCTGCTGAATAATGTGTTGAAATAAATTCTTGAAAATATTTAAATTTTCCATCTTAATATGAGAAGCCAGTAGAGTCAATCTGTAACTTTTATGATTTTAATGAATACTTGGTGGGAAGACTTCTTTTTGAATGGAAATTATCACTCAATTTTGGAAAATAAAGAATAGAAAAGATTTGTATTTACAATAAACAGACCTTTATGTGTTTTTCCGACCTTCTTTAGAATTTTAATTCACTATATATTAACTGATGAAAAAATTAAACTATATACAGAGTTTAACCTTCTTTTCAGGTTATTTCCTAATTTAATTCACTTCTTTATAGGTTTAGGATTTTTTTTGATTTAGATAATAACAGAAGATGTACTAGGAATGGTTTTCTGGTTTAAGTAGAAAACTTAAAACATGTCTGCAACCCATATGACAAATACTTGTATCTTCCATCCCCCAGTAAGAGGTTTTTCACTAGGAAGAGTTTTCATATGATTAACTAATATATCTGTACATTTTATGTTTAGTTTCAAATAGGACAGTAGTGAAAGAAGTAGAATTCGGGATGTGCACCGTCACATGTGGTAAGTATGTGGAGCAGAGGAACAAACCATACTTGGGGGAGGAATAGTAAAAACAGATAGTGAGGCAACCTTTTATTTGTAATTCATGTACTTTCATTCATCTTGTATTGATTTCTTTTCCTAATAACTATAATTTATACACAAAATCCAGACTGATTGCTTTAAAAGGTAAGATATTTTTAGCTTATAATATCTGAGTTTTATTTTAAACCAGCTTCTTCTAATTTTTTGGCATATAAACTGCCTTCACCAAAGTAAAATTTTCTCTATCTCACAGATGTTCAGAAGATGAAAGATTTTCCAATATATCTCACAGATGTCTTCCCATATATTATATTGACAAGTCTATCAAGAAACTTGCTTATTTGTAATAGTCTATTCTAAATTCTAGATTTCTCCAATTTGTATGTCATATCTAGGAGAAGAGAGGTATTGGCATTATGGGAAAGATAATCTTCAAAGAACATGACATTTTAATTATTCCAGGGATAGAAATTTGACATAAACCTCTTAGCCTGGGGTTGAGACTAAGGATGTATGTGTTGTAATAGTGATTCTCAACTTAGCTGTGTACCCCAAGTGCCTGAAGGGCTTGTTAAACATAGATGACTCCACAGGCCTGCACCTCCATAGGCCTGTGGTGGGGCCTAAGAATTTGCATTTCTGACAAGTTTGCAGTGAAGTTGATGTTGCTAGTTGGAGCACTATCTTTTGAAAACCAATTCTGTGTAGACCAAGCTGCAGAGAAGACAGTAGATAATTCACAGTGGAATTGAGTTTATTCTAAATAGATTTGCCTACAAAAATAAAGACAACGGTGAGAGGGAAAGGGAGATAATAACCAGTAGGTAAGATCACAGAAATTTCATGGGGACCTAGATCACTGTGAATTGGAGAGGTAGGTGTCAAAAACTATACCTGCATTGTTTTAATTTGAGATAGTTGTTTTTAATGTAGCAAAATATACCTAACATGTATACACAGTAAACAATTCAGTGGCCTTAGGCCCATTCACATTGCTGTGTGACTCTCACAGCTGCCTGTCTCCAGAACTCTGTCATAGTCCTGAACTGAAACCCCCAGCCACTGAGCATGGGCCCTCCCCCACCCTCCTGCCTCCCAGCTCCAGACATTTTTCTTCAATTGCTTGCTTGATAAATTTTCAAAGGTAGAGAGATATGTTTATGACAGTTCTAGTCACTGATATTGTTTTCTATTCTTTAAAGACATGTTTTAGAAATTGTATACAAGTACTTATTCACTGAACAAATGTGTTTCTTAAATTTTTTGCCAACTAAATGGAAGGTACTGTCATAAGTGCTGGGAACAAAACAGTGAGCTCTCTGACTCAGAGAATGTATATTTTAGCAGAGGCAGGCACATAGTATGTAAAATATCTAATGTGTTAGATGGCAATGAGTTTTAAGGAAAAATAAACCAACAATGTTCAAAATAACGCAATTTATAACAACCATTTAGAAGAGAAAAGTGCTGCAGTGATGATTCTATTTATCCCTAAGACAATATTCTAGCAGTCAAGAGTTTTCTTTCCATTCAAACAGATATTTGTGTGTTACTTGACCTCACAGAAAACCTCACACCCACACACATCTCAGAGAAGTGTATTTAGCTAAATAAATACATATATAAAATATCTGACTGGAAAATATTTATGCATCTTAGAATAAGGCTGTGCTTCTAGAGAGTGTTTCATAAACTCCAGGGGGACTCTCCTGTAGCAGTTCTCAGCCATCTCTCTTGGAGACCTTCCCTTTCTACCCTCCCATCTCCCTGTGTCTCCCACTACTTGGAGTGTGGCTCCCAGACCAGCTGCGTCAGTGTCACCTGGGGAGCTTGTTAGAAATGTGAAATCTCAGGCTCACCCAAGACCTACTGAATCAGAATTTTCATTTTAGTAAGATCTCCAGGTGACTAGCATATACTCTTAGCTTTGAGAAGCACCTGAGAGCCCAGCTCAGCTCTTCAACCTTTCTCTACCCTCAAGGATGGTTCTATGATTAACACCTAGTAGGGGCTGAGGGAGGGACCCTGGTGGGTGAGTAGGTAGGGACAGATTCCTGCTGAGCCTATCTTGCGGCACAGGTTCAGCTGGCTGCTCATCCAGCACTTTCTCTTCTCCCTCCATTCTGGTGATGAGAGGCAAACTCTGTGGAGCTTTGTGGGCAGTTAGGATGGTGGTACAGTGTACCAAAGTATTTCATCAAATCTAAGACTTCATTGGCTATGAGAAGCACAGTAAATAAAATAGAAATAAGCTTTTAGAGTAAATAAATAAACTCTAAAAAGGAAAAATGCTGCCTGTTAATTTACGACTTGCTATCAATCATAAATGTATTCTTACTTTACAGATATTGCAATGTAAAAAAATTACATCTTAGATTATTGAAAATTTATGCACAATAGCATATTAATTTATTGACATATAAAATATTCCCCTCAAATTCTGTAGTGAAGTGGTCCCTTTAATTTTATTTGAAGTAACGTTTTCAAATGTGCATGATCATGGAGTCCATTTACTTATGGTAACAGAAAAACTAATGTTCTATGTAACTCATTTCAGAAAATGCTGTTTTATGAAATAAAAATGAGGGGCCTAAAAAATTTAAATGTGACAATCTTGGATTTAGGAATTTATTTACTGAAGTTAAGATAAAAGTGTCAATAAGAGACCTTATTTTGGGGAAAATGACAAAGTGAGAAAGAGGACACTCTGGAATTTGTTTTTTCTTGACATTTATTCCCCCCTTCTTTTTTTCTTCTTTTAAACCAAAGGTATCGGTATGAGAGAAGTTATATTAACAAATGGATGCCCTGGAGGTGAATCCAAGTGCATTGTCCGGGTGGAAGAATGCCGTGGGCCAGTGGACTGCGGCTGTGAGTTGGACTGCTTGTTGGAGGGAGACTGCGGGGAAGAGTTTAAGCTTTCCCATGAGTGCATGGAGGCGATCAATTGATAGATTGAAAGGAAATCATAATAAAATTTTAAATTCTACATCTTCTTAAAAAAGTTGTAGTTCTGAGTAACTATGTGCTTTAGCTTTACATTTTTTTAGGGATGTCTTCAATTTAATATACATTCTCTATGATACGCTGGAGCCTTACTGCACTCAGATCCGTGGTTGAGGCTGTTCTATGGTGAAACTCTTTTGATGCTTTGGTCATGGCATTTTATTGGTAGATTGGTAAACCTTAAATTGGGATTTTTTTTTTTTTTTTTTGAGACAGGGCCTCACTCTGTTGCCTGGGCTGGAGTGCAGTGGTGTCATCCTAGCTCACTGCACTCAAACTCCTGGCTCAAGAAATCCTCCTGCCTCAGTCTCCTGAAGAGCCTGAGAACTTTGAAAGCTGTTCTGTATCAAATGATGCTATTCTGAGGTTTTGATAGCTTTCATGGGAATTCCCAACCAGTAAACTGGAAGCCACTAACACATCTTAGTATTCAATATAGCAGATAACTGAGTTGCCTTTCTTCCTCTTTACAATTTATTCTGCATAAAGAGCAGAGAACCATGGTTTCGCTTGATGACTTCATCTTTGCATCCATCACTCCTCAGTTCTCCTTCACTCAAACCCTTAATGAGTTTGATAATTTATAACAATTGACTTTAAAACTGGAAGATGGCTTTTAGAAGTAGTAGTGTATGTAAAGCAATTCATAAAGCTTATTTATGTATTTAATTTTTCTTTCTCTCAGGGGGTAAGCCTCTTTCAGAAAGTCTTGAAAGTGTTAGACTGGCGTGTGTTCATATATCTCCTTCAAATCGTTTCAAATATATGTGGAAACTTCTAAGGCCAGACCAAGTGAGTAGTTAATGTATGTAACCTGGTGCTGCCTACTGGAGAATGTAACATTTGTTATCTGCTTCTGATGACTCTCATAAAACTTTCTCTTTAAAAATAGTTTGCCAAAATGAAATTTTAAATTATATAACTTTATTATACTTTACTATTACTATAATGTTTTCATTATTTAGTTGACTAAGACTTTGCATATATGTCTTAGGAACAACTATAATCAGAAATTAAAAATATCCATTTTATATAAAGTGTTCTATTTTAGAAGCAAGATTTTCATTGACTTTTATAGGAGTTGTATAATGATAATAGTGGCTAACCCTGATTAAGAGTTTATTAAGTGCTAAGCATGTATCGATTGCTAGAGTTTCATTTAACCCACAAACAACCTTATTGGTCAATTCTTAACATTATGCCCCATTTACAGATGAATGATGGAGGTGCAGTGAGTAACTTGTCCACAATCACACAAGCAGGAAGCAGTAGGGTTGGGATTTGAAGTCTGGATTGTGTGACTCCAAGGTCCATGTACACAATTAATTACCCAAGGAGGCTAAGAGAGACAGTAACTTTTCTTTGTTAAGGAAAATAAATTGTTTCCTGACCTTAATTATGCTAGAAGAATGTCGGTACTTTGTTATTTTTTGTTTTAAAACAGCAATCCGTTGTACTTGTAAATGATACAGCAATTCTAGAAGTACAGAGGGACGTCCATCCCTTGGCTTTCGAGTGTGACACCTACGATAATAATGAACTAATAGCAACTATAAAATTCACAATCTATACGGTATCTGGTAAGTGCCTAGAAATGTTCTGGTTTGCTTATGTCTCAGACTTTACAGAGCATCACAGTCACCTGTGAAAACAAAGCTGTCTAACTCACCCCAAAGTCTCTGATTTGGTAGATTTAAGATGGGCTGGTGCAAGAATTTGCATTTCTAACACATTCCCAGGTGATGCTGCCGCCGTTGGTCCAAAGCACAATCTGAGAAGCACTGGATTGTCATTTAGAATTGTTTTACAAGATAGTACTTAATTTCTTTTTTTGCAAAGTAGAGTCAGATGTGCTTCACTTTAGGAAATTGGTATATTTCTGAAGTGCCTCCACAGAACAGTCTTATAATTTGAATTGTATTCTTACTTTTATTTATATTAAAAGTGAAAATGGGGTGTTGCCTGTGGCTCAAAGGAGTAGGGTGCCAGCCCCAGATGCGGCAGTAGCGGGTTCAAACCCAGCCCTGGCCAAAAACTGCAAAAAAAATTAAAAAATAAAAAAGTGATACAGTAAATTATATAAAATTAATTAACATGATGTCAGAGCTTGTCTCTTTAAAAATCATGCATTTGTAGATGTTTTTTGATGAAGGAATAATACAGTTCTCAATATAGGTCACAAAATGTAAATCTTGTTCTAAACATAATTTTATATATTAGAAACTATTTCTTCTGTGAGTTGGATTCATTTGCCATTTTTTGAATGTAATCTATGATGCCTTCTGTATTCAGGTAATTATTTTCTTTTGTTCCATTGCTCTTAATGATTTTTATTATTGTGGTTATCTTTGTTAGGGGTAGCAGGGGAATTTGGTTGGTCAGAATGTGGCATTATTTAGAAACAGGGTTGTGGCAGATACAGTTAGTTAAGATGAGGCTACACTAAAGTGGGACTTTAATCCAGTGTGACTGGTGCCCTTAGTAGGAGAAAGAAATTAGGACTCCCACACACATATACACAGAGAGAGAGAGAGAGAGGAGAAAGAGAGGCATGCCAGGTGCAGACATAGAGACACACAGAGACACAGATAAATAGCCATATGAAAATGGAAACAGAGAGTGGAGTTAGGCTGACCCAAGCCAAAGAATGTCTGGGGCCACCAGAAGCTGGCAGAGGCAAGAATAATCTTCCTCTAGGATCTTGGGAGTAAACATGTTTCTGACAACACATTGTTTTTGAATTTCCAGACTCTAGAACTATGAGACAATAAATATCTATTGTTTTAAGTCACCCAGTCGTGGTACATTGTAATGATGATCCCGGGAAACTAATATACTTATGTACATAAGCTTCATTTATCTAAAAAGTGACAGTATCATAGTTAATTTTTCTTTTCTTTTCTTTCTTTTTTTCTTTTTCTTTCTTTCTTTTTTTTTTTTTTTTTTGAGACAGACTCTCACTTTATTGCCCTGGATAGAGTGCCATGGTGTCACAGGTCACAGCAACCTCCAACTCCTGGGCTTAAGCGATTCTCTTGTCTCAGCCTCCTGAGTAGCTGGGACTACAGGCACCAGCCACAATGCCTGGCTATTTTTCTTTGTTGTTGCAGTTTGGCCGGGGCTGGGTTTGAACCTGCCACTCTCGGTAAATGGGGCTGGCACCCTACCCACTGAGCCACAGGCGCTGCCTAAGTTTATTTTTCATTAGAAAATTTCAATAGGAAGTTCATCCTATTTTTTATTAGCTATAAAAGTAGCCTAGGTGACCCTTTTGCAATAAGACTACTATTGTGATAAACTAAAATCTTCATGCCCTCACTTTCCAACCTTTTTTGACTGATGTTGCAGGGTAGTAGATAAATGAATTTTGCATTTTTTCTTTTAGTTCGCAAAACTATCTTTTATTTTGTAATCTCACCACTTATGTAAATCTGAAATTGTTTTAAAATAAAAAGAGAAATCCACAATGTTGGTATATAAATACAGATATAATTTCTTTATCATACTTGGAACTAAATTGAGTTTGTAGCTCTAGAATTATTAGGGAAAATGGAAAGTTTATACTCATGATGGGTAAAGGCTAGGGAAAAAAAATCTAGAAAAATAAGCATTTGAGATTGCCCATGCAGTAGACTACTTCTGACAAATACACATACACACACACACACACACACACACACACATAGACAAAGACATATTATAATGTTTTTGCAATCTTGGAATAAACTATAGGATCCAAATAGACTTCATGAGTAGAAACAATCAGAAGTGTAACTATCAGGATTAGCTCATTATTTGGTGTGAAGCTAGACTAACCAACTTGCTACCAGCAAAACCAGATATCTGTGTGCAATCACTGATCCACGGCAGGGTTCAATATGGAGCCTGGAAATCAGAGTCTCTTTTAGAGAGAACCTTCTGAAAAGGAACCTACCACACTGAGAATACATGCAGAGCACAAATGAAGTAGTTGCTACGGTCTAAATGTGTATTTCCCAAATCCACATACTGAAAGCTAATGTGGCAATATTAAGAGGTGAGAAAACTGGGAGGTAGTTGAGTCATGGGGATGGAACCCACATAAATGAGATTAGTGCCCTTATAAAAGAGCCTCAAGGGAGCCCTTTTGCCTTTTCCACAATGTGAGGACACATGAGAGCTCTCTCTGAACCTAATGAATGAGCCATCACCAGACACAGAATATGCTGGAGCCTTGATCTTGGACTTCTAAGCTTACAAACCTATAAAAACTGAATTCCTATTGCTTATTAACTACCCTGTTCATGATATAATGGCCCAAGTGGTCAAATTTTAAAATATTAAAATAGTCAACATATAGTTTGTACAAAGCATTAAACCTCTCTAGACCTTGGTTTACTTATGTATGTAATGAGATGGTTGAGTCAGATCACTGTGGTCCTTATCTCCATGAATCTTTTATGATTCTAAAATTTGAGGACCAGAAGAACCACAAGAAAAAACTATATTATTCAAAATAAGTAATATTTTATGTAAATTAGCTTTTCATCAGTTTACATTATAACAATGCTGTCTACATATAGTAGACTGGCTTTGTCTGTTGAATAGACTTATTTTCAGAGATAACAGAGGGATATGAGACATAATGGTTGATATAAAAGTTATGTGTGAGCCAGGCTTGGTGGCATGAACCTTATAGTCCCAGCTACTTGGGAGGCTGAGGCTGGAGGATCACTTGGGTCCAGGAGTTCAATACTAGCCTGAGCAACATAGAGAGACTTTGTCTCTTAAAAAAAAAAAAAGTAGTGTGTGGATATTTGTATGGAAAATAGTAAATGAGCCTCAACTCTTCCCTTATGTCACATACAGAAATTAGAGATGTATTGTAGTCCTAAGTATAAAAGCTAAACCTTAAAAGTTTGTGAAGGAATATTCGAGAGTATTTGCATGATTAGGAGTGGGCAAAGGTTATAACTCCCTTGGTCAATGACATAACTCCCAAAAATTTTCATAAAGGAAACGTTGAATAAATTAGCCATCATCAAAATTTAAAATTTCTTTTAATAGAAATCCTTAGGATAATGAATGGATAAACCAAAATCTGGAAGAAAACATTTCCAAAACAAGTACAGCCAGTATATTCAGTTTGGGAAAGGTCTCACAGGTTCATAGAAAACTAAGTGTATGTCTACCATCCTGCCTATGACCCAACAATTCCAGTCTTAATTATTTATACAAAAATTAAAATGCATGTTCACAAAATGGCTTGTATGAAAATATTCATAGGAATTTTATTTGTAATAGCCCCAAACGGGAACAGCCTAGGTATTTATTCATCAGTAGAATGACTAAAGAAATTGTGGAACACTACTCAGTAATAACAAAGAAGAAACTGCAATTACATGTAACACTGTGGGTGAATTTCTGAAACATTATTCTGGGTTTAAAAAAAATCATTACACAAGAGATTACATGATATATATTTCCATTCATAGGAAATTCTAGAATATGCAGAACTAATTTATTGTGGAAAAAAATTAGATTAGTATTGACTCTGGAAGGAGGGACAGGGATTAACCAGGAGAGGCTCCATGGAACCTGCTGGATGACATTTGATTACATGTGTAATCACCAAAACTAAGCAAATGCACATTTAAGATATCTGTGTAAATCAGTGTATGAAAATTTTACCTCAAAGAAAAAACATAAATATTAAACCCTAATTAATGATGTTTACTGAAGAATTTGGGGGGAAGTGTGCTGACATCTGAAAATTATATTGAAATGAATCAAAAAATAAGATGGATTGATGAATTAGTGGAGGGATGGATAGATAAATACTAACATATTAATGATAGTAGTGTTATAACTATTATCTGTATCTAAACAGATAGTTTAGAAACAGGAAAATCTTAACTGAAAATATTGGCATGTGCAAAATTGGTCCTCAAGGAGATCCCTTAGTGAACAAAAGCAAAGTATCTGTATCTACTACAGATAGTAATTACAACTCTACTATCTATAAAACTGTAAAACTTGTAGTTAAACATGCAACTGTTTCTTTTTTGTTATTACTGAGTAGTATTCCATAATTTCTTTATTCATTACACTGATGAATACCTAGATGAACATCTAGAAAATGGTAAAACAATTCATTGTCAATTTCTTTCATTTTTTTTTGTATATTTGAAAAGGAAATTTCAAATATGCACAGCAAGTTCATTAACAATAATTTTTTTCCCACTAATTATTTCTGCATTTTTCTAGAGTTGTTTTTCAAATACAAAGTCTCCATCCAGAGATCCATTTCTTTTTCTTTCTTTCTTTCTTTCTTTTTTTCTTTTCTTTTTTTTTTTTTTTGGTAGTAATAATCATCAGGTGTGTGTGTTTTCTCTAGAATTGCAGATGAGGAGAATGAGCCGACCAGATGCTGATGCAGTGCTAGTTTTTGTGCTGACCATAGGAGTCATTATCTGTATATTCGTGATCTTTGTATTGATCTTCATAATTGTAAATTGGTAGGTGAATGGTGGGATGTGCTACATCCTTGATTTGTGCCCTCATCTCCTGTCCCCTTTCCTCCCTCATCCAGAACTGCACGGCCCTGTTGGTGATGCCTGCTACCACATCCTGAATCTGTCCAGCTCCCTTCCCTGCTCCCATGACTATCTCCTTCTGGAGATGCTTTTTAAAACAATCCCATGACTTGCTACTCCAGGAGAGAGAGCTTTTAAACACAATTACCAGTTTCTGTGGTAATTGGTAACAAAAAAAAAGCTTATTTAACGCATATTTGTGGTTTTAGTTGTATTTCTCATAACTCTAAAAATTGGTTATCTTAACCTACTAATTTTTTGATATGAGAGTATTTATTCCACATATGTGAGTGTAATACCCTGGCAAGCCTGAGACTCCATGGACCACCACAGAGTGCAGGTGACGCACCACAGATTAAACCGAGTCACGAATACAAAGGGCCTTGTGTGTGCAGAAAGTGTAGATACGGCTCTACTTCATTTTAGTTTTCACTTCATATGATGGTTTTTGTTTTTGTTCTTCCAGGGCAGCAGTCAAGGCTTTCTGGGGGGCAAGACTCTCAGCTACTGAGGTACAATCCGACCTGAGTTCTGTGAGATACAAAGATTCAACTTCTCTTGACCAGTCACCAACAGAGATACAGGGAGCGGAAGATGATGCTTTAAGTGAATGGAATGAATGATGTGTGGATGATAGATGACAAACCAAAAGATATTAGAGCTTATCAGATTCATTATTATAAAAATAAAATATATACTGAATACTTTAATAATGTTGTGGTGATTTGCCACAGTCTGGAGGTGATGCAGTGTGAGGACAGGACTTTTGGAATTATTCTTTATGGTACAGTGATTACTTACTACTTTTAATTTGTTCTCAACACATCATTTCAGGTTGGGGACATTTGTCAACACATCTTCTATACAATATTTTAATTGCTTTGATAACATTAGGTGACTTAATTGTTCTATTCTAAATAAGAAAAATGGAGTATAGAAATGCCTTGCATTTGGCCTCCCTCCCCCATGGGAGCATTGGATTGAACTTGCTAATGCAAATCAAACTTCAGAATCTCTGCACGTGATAGACAAGTCTTGTAAGACATGCGATACTGCCAGTAATGATGACAACTAACACTGGGCAACTGCCATGGGCAGAGCATCACTCAAAGCATTTTCCACATATTAGGTAATTTAATTATGATTGTATATAAGAAATGTGTAAGGAAGAACTGGAGAGGAACTTGGAGATGGCTGAGAAAAGGACACGACTTTACATGCCCTCCATCTCTCACAGAAGCAGTGAATTGTGGACTTTTGAGTGACCACTGACAAATGGTTTTATTGTTCTTGGTATGCAGGTGATAACTTCTCAGCACCCAGTACTTATTTCTGAGACCATGACTGCCCTGTTCTGCTGTGTCATCATGTGACACAGTTATGGCCAAGTGTCAAACAAGTACCAAGGATTAGGTAGTTTGATTTAGTATACTTTGCTAGAAATTGTCAGAGGTTATGATAACAGCACAAAATATATTTAATTTCTTTCTATTTAGTTGAAGTCTTTGCCAACTCTATTGTTACTATTATGGAATTTATCTCACAACACCATGAACTCCCTGTACACTTGTGCAGAATGCATTGTGAGCAGACGTTTTTGGTATACTCCCCTCTAGTAGCCTGGGAATAGGCTATTCTGTGGTGTTGGCCATGGTTTCTGTTATTTGTATTTGAGAGAAGCAATGAGGAATTGGCTGGAAAATGATTTTGTTATCTATTGAGAGACATGCTCTACCGAACACTTTAAGTGAAAAGAAACTGTTTTTCTAAAACTTTCCAAAGACTTATTTTTTGTGACCCCACCCCCACCCCATAAGTGTTTTTTCCTTCCACTTCTTCCTGAGTACCTAATGGTCTATATACCTTAGTGTAGGCACTAAATATTCTTGAGTAGGAGTTACTATTAACCTTTATCTTTAGAGCCATGAGCAGCAGCAGGTGCCAGCTGCACTTCAGTGAGTGTCAGTGTCAGCCATACATCAAGCCTCATCATGAGTGTCATCACTGGGTATTTTTGGCTGTCAAGATAGCGTTTTCTCAGCTTCTCATGGTTGAGTAGGATCATGTGACTAGTTCTAAGCCAAAATTCCAAAGTTATGAATCACTTTCAGGCTCCAACATTTAATTGTGAAGACACCCAACCTTACATTCCTTCTGCTAGAGCCACCAGAAGAACTCAGAGGAGACTGCTCTGATTCCTGGTCCCAGACTGAGGACCATGTGGCAAAGTCAACCACAATGGATGTGTATGATATCATTAATACTAGTTGAAATGTATTTATTCACAAAATAATACAGCTAGATGGTCTGAGAGAGCATATCAGGAAGTCAGTGTTGATTCTCTTGCTACTCCCTGCTTGCTCATGCCCTCCTGGAGTTCACTTACTGTTGGCTTTGTAACAAATTATGAGTGTTGGTCCTAACCTAGATGGAGAAGTCTGCACTTTAACCCAGGATCCTTTGAGTCTACTAGGAATACAAGAGTGCCAATGAGACCTTAATTGTCTTTCATAATGATTCCTAATCTATTCACACATCATGGAGTTAAGAACCAGATAAGGAGATTAAGAGTCCCCCACAATGGCCCTGGTGGCTGGGTGCACCTCTGGGTCAGCAGCAGGTGATGGGGTGGTTGGTAGACACAGCAGGCTTCATTTTTTGCAGTCTTGGATGTGATCATGGAATGAGGTAGATGACTTTACTCATCTTATTGAAAGACATTCCAATTTTTTTCTGTTAACATAGCATGATGCTTCAGTTCAAAATCATCTTTCCAGAGCAGTTCTGATAGATTCCACATGTCTCTGTTTTTGTCTCCTTGATCTTTTAAAAATTGACATGATTTTTCTATTTTGGTTTCATTTTATATTTTACATTTGTTTCTTTAGTCATTTTTTTCGTTATAGTTTGGAGGACAATCTTTTTGGAATTCATAATCCATCACTGTTGTGAACCACCATCTGTCTCAAAAAACACAGAGCCCATTTACATGATTATTTAGGCTTCAAGTTTTGTGAAATTTTATTATCTGTGAGCAAGTCATTTGTATGATAGAAAACAGTCTGTTTTTGACAATTTTCTGATTCTTATTGAAAATGAAACTTGGATGCTGAATTTCAAGGTGTTTTTTGTTTAACCATTTAAAAGCGGAAAAGGAACAACCCTTTCTCTGATACACAAGTTCTACATTTTTTGATAATAGCAAGTGCATTTAAATAAATGAGAGGTATTCAAGCATTCTTTTTCTTGTTGAGAAGAATTAGAATTAAGCAACAATTATTTAAATCGTGCTCCTAGATACATACAGACTAGTTTATTATTCTTCATACTTGTCTATGTATTTATAAATAGAGACCTTATTCACAATCAATCCTTTAGGCTCTACTGGATTTTCACCAAAGTCGAAGTACAATAGTACATATGCTAAGTGAGCCTGGCATGAGCAAGGGCTCTGAGCAGGGAGTACAGAGCATCGCTTTATGTGGTGACAATGGGGTACGTTCTTGGGGAATTTCTATAGTTAGAGAAGCATCTATGCAACTTAATTTCTTATTTACTCAAATGTGTGGGGGGTTTTGTAAGTGTTATTTGTTGAGGACAATAGAAACATCACAGCTTCCTTTCTGTACATTAATTTTCTTCCTCTTTTTGACAGACACAGTTTTCTTCCAAGTATTACTGGGACAACACTGAAGGTGCTTTTGGACAAACTGGTGGGGTATAGCCTTCACATCAGAGAGGCCTGGTGAGACTGGTGTTATTATTCAGCACCCCAAGGCAACACCAATGAGTGCTTTACAAGCAGCAGAAATTATCTGGCAGTAATGAAACCATGTTCTTCCAGAACAAACAATATAAGATCCTAGAGGTAACAGGGACAGAGTATGTAAAAGCAATACTCTTGTGTACTCTGGGGAAAGCACCCACAGCACACAGCAGAGCTGGTGACCCTCCCTGGGAAGGGCGTGCTGTGCTTTCCACAGCAGAAGTGGGACTTGTGTACATGTGCCATGAGCCTGAAGTTATGAATTAGTGGTTAATGGTGCTGCAGAAGACGAGAGGCCAGAGGAAGGAATGGGGGTTGGGGAGGTGGGGGCTGAGGAAAGGGTGAGGAGGGGCTGTAAGCAGGTACAGAGTCACAGGGAGGCTGGACGGTGAAGGGAAGTCAAAGCAGAGTGGGAGAAACATAGTCCGAACAGCAGGAAAGGAAAATGGACTTGCAGGAAATTTTGGCAAAGACTAGTATAGGGAATTGATGAGAAAGAGACCAGTGAAAAGAAGTTTGTGTAAATCAAGGTAGAATGTGATGAGTGTCTTGGCAGCAGAGAGAAACAAACAAACAAACAGATTTTAGGGGGAAAAAGATTCCAAGTAAAGCTAGATATGAGGGTATACAAATAAAGTAAATATAAATCCATGAACCATGTTTAATCTCTGTGTTGCTGTTGAGCCACCCTTTCTCCAGAAACCTTCCCTTGACCTTCAATAGCACTGTTTGCCTGTTTTCCATCTACCTTTCTTTTATCCCTTTCCAATGGCTTCAGTTTTTCCTAGGGAGGCCACTAATTATATATCTCCAAAAGCTGGGTGGATGTTTCTTCATGGCTGTACCACCTTCACCTCGAAGTATATAAAACTGAAGTTTCCTCCATATCTAAACACAAGTTCCTCCTCTGCAATGTCCCTGTCCCCAGTCACACCTGCCCTGGACCACACACTCTTATGTAGCCAAACAGTGACCAAGGCCAGCCGACATCTCCTTGCTCTGTCCTTCATGCCCATCCAGCTTGACTCACTTTTCCTCACCCTCCTGGCAGGTGCTTGTGCCAGCTGCCACTGGCCAAACTCAATTTGCTTTTGTCCTTTGTCCTCCTATGCATGTATCTTTAATTTCTACATAATCAATCCTTCAACTCCCCTTCAAATATGTCATGTGCTACATTTACATCTTTGCTTTTATTTTTTCTTTAGGTGAGAATTATGAGTTTGTCTTCCATCTCTTCACTTCTGTTTAATCTACCTTCAAAGCAGTTGGCTGTGAAACTTCCTTTTTACCACTGTACAGATTAAGCCACTATAATGAAGAGATCAAATCATTTAATGACCCACATAATACAGAGATTTCTTTTCCTCTCTTATATAATAGTTTATAGGGAGGCAGGCACTGGGTCACATCTCACAGGGTAGTACTTAGTCAAATGACCATACCTAGCTGTACAGGAGGCTGGAGAATGTAGTCTCATCTGTGAGTCTGGTCCTAGCTAAAATTCTGAGTCTTAGTACTAAAAGCAAGAAGCGTAAATATAAGAAGTATGAGGTAGGGATAATGCTGGAGAGTGGGAGAGGGAAATAGCACCTTATGTCTCAATCACCAGACCCCCCTGGGGAGCTCTGCTGCCTCTAATCTTCTGTCCAAATCTGTATCCATAGAATTTGTGTTCCTTTGCTTTGTCATTTCTTCTTTTACATTTTTCTTACCTTTCCACTTAAAATATAAGCTCCTTAAGAACGTCAGCTCATGACAAAATCTTTGCATACCTAGTGTAATACTTGGCACATACTGGGTGTGCAAAATGATTATTTTCATAAATTATAATAATTATTATGCCTTTTGGACTTGAAC